CCCCCCCCATCGGGAGGGGAACTCCCATATGAAAAGGTTAGGGATGCTTGTCGTCTCACTTAGGGGTGTAAATCAAGGATTCTGGTCTCACTTAGGGTGTTGATGATGAAACGCAACTATTTTTAGCTGTCAAAGTATCTCTTCGGGTGCAGTCAAAGAAATGATACTAAAAGAAACGATCTTATTTCCGCTTTTAGGCATCGCCAAGAGCAACTCTGGCTTCTGATTCAGATAAAATCATGTACACTACTAATTCTTTTGTAGATTAGTGACACTCACAGAGATTGAGAATAAGCGAGAAAGATTGTCATATTTGTGGTAAAGATAAACCAACTCTGCTTCATTTTCATCGTGAACTATCGTGATATTTTTTTTTTTTGAGAATTTCAAACAGTTTTCATTTATTTGATCCATGAATTTCTTTAGAAAATTCCACCATTCATAACCAAAGAAATGTTGGACACAGATGAAAGGTACTATTACTTTCAGTTACTTATTTAAAGCACTACTTCACGTAATAGTTTTTATCAATTTTCTTGGAATAGTTCAAGTTTCTTAAGGTACTTTGGGTGTCAAAGGCTCCTTGCGCTGGTAGAAAAAGTATAATAATTATTTATTAATCACAGTATATAATTCTCTGGTGCAGTGCCATTTTGGTTACTGTTAGAGCCCCGTTTGGGACAATGTCGAGAGAAACATTGTCTGAAAAGCTACAGAGATTACAAAATTGGATTGTCAAGATCATCACCAAATCGTTGCATTATGATAATGCATGTACTGTCTCAGTCCCTCCGTCAGACGCTATAGACAGATGACCTTCAAACCCGACGAAATATATTAATACACTATAGGTCCACCATAGGTTGTCTCCTGAATGTGACTGAAGTGTTCTCTAAGTGTCTGAAACTACTTATTACGGTCCAAGGAGTGCAAACCGAGAGTATTTTGAAAAAGCTTCAGTTATAAGGGGGCAAAGGTATGGGATGAACAACCAAATGAAAATTAAGAGCTCTTCCTCTCTGTAATTGCCAGACAGACCTGGGAAATGTTTTTTTTCATTATGTTTACAGATCGTTGAGTATTGTAGTGGATGTCAGCTGTGATCCAAACAGTCCTAACAATCCTTTACCATTTTACGACACCTGCACATCGTTCAAAGATCCTACTTACAGAGTTAACCTGTCGTAAGTGAAACTAATGTAATATTTAGTGTGTCAATCTACCCGAGCCAAAATCTTCCATACCTAGCAGAAATCTGTGAAGTGTGTCTTGTTGGTTTGTGCTTGGGTGTGTTACGAACTCATTAGAGCACTGCACTGGTATCACAGAGGTCATGGTTTTGAATCCGGCCCGTTCAAGCCGAGTTTTTTTTTTTTTAGATTCACAATTGCGTATGTTGCACACAAGACAGCAATGATCTCTCATAAGAGAGACATATCCGGGTGTGGAATTTGTGGAGTTCCATTACATACCTTTCTCTGACTTGCGATCAGGTGTTCATTTTTTCGGCCCTCAAATAAGAATACTGGAAACTCGTGGTCGCAACTTCCTCATCCTCTTCGAAGATTTAGTGAGCGCGAGTTTAAGCCAATCGGATCAACTAAGAAATGAAGGCAAAACCCATAACAAGTCAAAGCGCGCGAAAAAACAAGCAATACGACACGCCATTTGTTTACTTATTTACAGTGTCCCCAATTAGCACATTAGTGCTAAATACACCGACACTTAAATAAAGTGATTATTATTACGCAACACGCTGGACTCGGCAACACGTTGTAATGGATAATTTGATTGTCCCAAAACATCAAGTCCTCGCTCAGCTGTTGTAGACAGTTGTAGACAAGAGAAAATGTTAAATTGCGCATGACCAATGTTTGTCACTCAAAAGTATGCCTGATTTCGTTCCTTACATTGAAGGCTTAGTTTAATTCGTTGACCTGCAACCTGTATGACTGATGCAAAAATTAAGTTAACTTTTCTTGCATCACAGGAAGTCTTCCAAGCCATTAGACGTTGTTGCTATTGATCACTTTCCTTCCCTGCTACCAAGAGAGAGCAGCACAAGATTTGCAAATGATTCTACGCCACATTTGCTCAAGTTAGATCAGGTAAACTAGTGAAACATTGGGTTTTATACAACTGTATAATCCATTGGTGTAACAAGTGCTTAATGTTTCACTGTAGTAAGATTTGAAGACTTTGTAATTCTTGTTACTTAGAGACCTAAATGACCCAAATTCTCGCTCCAAATCGATTTAGGTTCCGTCCACGCTACGCCGGAGAAATTTGAAATTGCAGCTTTATTTCAATGGTAAGGCCTAGCGTCCACACTAATTCGTCACGAAGACCAAGAGTTTCTTAAACGCCCTTCAAACCGGGGGAATTTTGAAAATGCCGGCTTTGCGTTTTAGTGTGAATGGAAATCATTTTGAAAACGGAGCTTTTCCAAAACAATGACGTTAAGATAATCATGTGCCATAGACAAATCCAAAATAGCCGGTGATTGTTGCATTTTCAAATTTCTTCGGAGTAGTGTGGGCGGAAAACTTTTAATGCGTTTTCAGAGTGAAAACGCCGTTTTCAAACTTCTTCGGTGTAGTGTGGACGGGGCCTTGAACTCAGTTTAAAACGATGCATAGAGAACGGACAATGATGAAAGCGGCCAGACTAAACTTCACTTTCTTTTTTATAATGACACCATTTATTCCGCAGAGCTTAATCGACCTGTTACTGGACACCACGAACTGACTCCATCACCTTGTTTCTGTTGACAGGTCGATACTTACTGTGTGTGGGTTAATGCCAAGAAAATGTTTGACCAGAAAGCAGCCGAGGCAGAAAAAGTTTTCTCTAAACAATAATGATAACAACGACAACAGTATTGCAGAATGATTTTACATTCAATGTATTAATAGAATAGAATAATATGTACTTATTGTATGAATGGGAGGGCCGCACGGGAGAATATTTGGCTCTCGGTCAGGACGTAAAGTACATAAAATGGCCGCGGAGGTGAATACAAGAAACTGCAAAGTAACTGTGACAGTACGAAGATTGAAATTATTCCTCTGAAATGTCAGTCGTCTTGTTATGTCGTTTTGCAGAAATTTTGAGATGTGATTTTTTAACACGAATGAGGCAAACTACAGTTTTTGTCTTAGTCTTTATACAAATGCTACGTTTGCAAGTAATAACAAAGCAAACGCGAAACATTAAATTAATAAATAAAAAGAAATACCGCGGAACGTTGGGGTTTGTTGTTTGTTTGTTTGT